TGGGGCCTCGGGGACAATTTTTGCAGCCATGGGAGTCCCCCCCCCCACTTTGGGGGCCGAGTGCTCTCCCGCCGGGCGTCACCGCCCAGCCGACCCCTCCGCAATGCCAGGCGGCCTTTGGCCACGCTTGCCCCCGTCTGGGAAGTGGCTGTAGAAAAGGGGCGAGCACGGAAAAATGTTTATAGGGACTGGGATGCCGTGGTGGGGAGCGGCGGCTGCAGGTCCTCGCTGCCCTGGTGTTCTACCAGAAGCGCTGCTGCGAGGATGGTGGAAGCCAGTCCTGCTCTCTCTTCGCGAGAGCTCTGCATGAGCTTACTCCTTTTTGCACTTCGTAGCCTGTGGCTTACAAAAAATCATGGGGATTCACTAAGTTTGCCATTGAATTCCTTATGGAGCTCCCATGCCAACTGTTCGCTGCCGAGGTGCGGAACGCGCCGGCTTCCTGCGCAGCTCCTCCAGCGCGGCACCGTGCCAGGAGCGGGCTGCTCGTCTCCGGTGGCAGCATGGCATCGACAAGAGCCCCAGTCTTGCCACCCTGCTGCCCTTGGAGGGAGGGAGGTGTGCAGGGAGCGAGGCCGGCTGCAGGAGGGCCCGGCCTGCTCCAGCACGGAGCTTTCAGCTGGGAGCCAGCAGGTGAGCAGGGGCAGGCTGTAACGAGCCAGCACAACCCTGACCTTTCCCCAGGCTAAACTACACTTGGAGAGCATTTTGTAACCAGAAAATCCAAAAGAAAAACACTGAGAATATTCTACTTGTTACCTTACCCACCTCACCGAGGGGGGTGGGGGGATGGACCCAAAAACTCAGTCTTAGCGGCGGTGACTTCTGTGTGCCTCTTGCTTTTTGTTCATAAATTGTCCCGACAGGTTTATCAGTGCTGGAAAAGAGTTTACTTTTTCCACAAAGAAAACATGGTATCTTAGGTTGACAGTACAAAGAATTTGCATATCTTCCCCGTACTAAAGCAACCCTGCGTTTGAAAATATTCCTGAATCTTGTCATATCTTCTAACCAAATTGCTCGAACCTTGGATATCAGGGAGCAGCATTGCTTATGTGTTTGGAGAAGAGTGCCCTCGGAGAAAATTTTCCCAGTGTGCAGTCAGCTTGATGCAGCGAGGGTTGGGAGTGGAACAGACGGTCCTGTGCTCTCTATAAATACACAAACAGTTAGGCTCAATTTGCGAATATATTTATGTCTCTTACTAGCCTAATTCTGCAAACGAATAGTGCCCTACATCTGCTGTGGAAGTGGAATGTGTAAAGCACCAAAAGGTTGTGCCTCGGGTGCTAAATTGCAAAACACATTTCACAGTCGTGTCTGCTGAACGAATACAGTTGTACGCTGCCAAGTTGCTTAAGTCCAGAAGCAGTCATTATCTAGGAGCTATTGAAACCCTTTTAATTCTAGTTAAAGGTATTATTGATTTTTTTCTGAAACACCTAAAATTTCGAGGCTGAAAATAAGCAATGACCCATCTGTTTTGAGTATTATACTTGGTCCCATTTCATCTCTAGTCTAAGGAAAAAAATGCATAATTTTGTTTGTCGTACACTCACATGTCTTAAATAGCCTGGATGGACATGGGCGGGGATTCGCAATCTGTGGGATTGATGGGATTTTCCTGGGTAAGAAATGCAGGTTTAAGCTGCCTGGGCTGGTTGGTTTGTTTGTTTATTTCTTCTACTTTGGTATTTCAATAGCAAGGTAGATAGCTTATCAGTTTGCTGAAGTCATGCTAAGGATGGCTTCTACCCATTTAGCCACAAAAATAAGGTACTGGGAGCTACATCCTTTTCATCTTTCATAGACTCAACTCAAGAGCAGCCTTTTACCAGCCTTTAAATGCTGTTTTTCTCAAGGACACTTCCAGTTGTTTTAGATTCATCCAGCCACGTGTTTTTCAGGAGGAAGTGGAACAATGTAGAAAGTACAGAGGAGAATACACATTTGAAAAATTAAATAATGCGAACCAAAGGCAGCCCAGATCATCTGCTGAAGCGACGGATCTCGGGTTGAGGCTCTGCCACGTGGAGCCGGAGCCATACTGCCCTGAGCCGTGATTTCAGAAGCTGGGCATCCAGCCTCACCCAGGAGTGACTTCAAACCCCTACTTCATGTAAGCTTGATCACAGTTTTATATAAGATCAGTGTAGTCCTGTTGTGGCTCACTTTCCTTCCTCCTTTATTTTTGGCACGTATAATCAAGACACAGAAAATAACCACTCTTCTTCCTTAAATGCTATCAAGCTAGAATTTCAGATTGTTCACACTGTGCGCAGTGGCAGCTATTACCATAGATCTTGAAGCAGTTGCTCTCAGCTAGGTGTTGTATTCCCTGTGATTTAAAAAAGGAAAGCAGAAGCTTAATGTCTACTATTTAGTTACCTGTAGATACCTAAAAGACTCCACATGACAGTAACCAAAATATGAAAAACAGAAGACATGTAATGCTCACATTTTACAGTAATTTGCCCCAGAGAAAAGAATAAAATCTTGACCTACTTGAGGAAACAGGGTTATTACATTCATTCTGCTTATCCAGAAAATACAATTTGACATGTAAGTAAACCATAAAGTTATAAGAAGGAACAAGTTAAGTCATGCCAGTTGTTAGGAGTAATTCTGCAGCTCTGTCTCTGACAGAAACGCTCACTGAAGTCATCAGGAATTAAGCGTGTGAAGAGACGCATCCCAGTTACTGTGGTTATGTAGAGGTAGGGCTGATCCAAGGGAATTACAGTCTTGGCCTCCTAAGTCGGTACGGCTGCAGAAGCTCAGCATGCTCCGGGGATTAACGTGCTGCTCGTGGGAGTGGGAGCTGCTGAAGGCACCAGTGCAGGGGCACAGTTGCCGTACCCTTTCTAGAGTTCGGTGCTGTCTTGGGCCTGCTGCAGCAAGTGTCTGAAGCGCCTCGGTAGACAATGTTTAGGCAGGCGGCACTAGTGCTCAATTCTTCAGTGGCATGGTAGTTTCTTACTCAGCTCAGGGGAAGAGTTCCTCACCTCAGAGCAAGAGCCAGACCAGTCATCAGGTTCGATATGGAGTTCATCCAAGTCACAAGGCTCAAGGCACAAGGTCATAATTAGCTAAAACCAATACAAGCCTACAGTGCTGGCAGAAAGACAGTCCCACCCTTCTTCCCATCTCTAAGGAAAGCCACAAGGGTAGCCTTCACCCTTTCTCCCCTTGTTGAAACTGCTGCCGCTCAGGAAAAAAAAAGAAATTATGCTTCTCTGAGCCAAAGGCAGATTTTAAGGCAAACCTGGCGGTCAGCATATTGCCCTGGAGAACTCAACCTACATTCCCAGTCTGCAGCCGTCCAAGGTATTTCCTACCCAGCAGCTTTCTGAGAAGAGTGTGATGGGTCATGCAGTGTACAGGCAGCTTTCTGAGAAGAGTGTGATGGTGGTGTGCTCTACAGGCCAGCCTTGCAGGTGTTTGTGTCGTTGGAACAAGGACCGGCGAGGTAACGGTACACAGTGATGGGACTCTTGTAACGCCTGTACGTGTGCATGTGGGGAGACACAGGCCACCGAATGTCTCTTGGTTTGTCCACTGTTAGAAAGGGTCTGGTGTAACACCAAACCTACACAGGGGTAAGACTTCTCTGTGGCAGATGTCTGCTCTTTGAAAACATACGTCTGGAAATGACCCAAGAAGAAGAATGAAGGTGCTTTATTACTATGGTGATAAGATACCGATGGATACATGGGTGATCTCAAGAATTTTCTACTTGTACACTTCAACCTTTCATTTTTATCAGTGAGAGTTTTGCTGATTTTTGGTAGTGCCTTATATAGAAAAATCATTTTCTGTGGCCCATATTTATGTTATTCTTGTTACTTACTGACAGCAGAATTACACATTAAGACGTTGCTTGCAGAACGAGAAACTTCAGTCTTTCCTGCAGCACAGCTAGAATATTTTACAGTGCAGTGTGTCAGAACATAGGGGCAGCAAATCTAATGCATGCAAAGCATATCTGCCTCTCAACTTCAGTTAGAGATGTCTTTTTTAGTTCATATGTTTCAAGATAGTTTGTCAAAGCATAGCACAGCCCACTCAAAATAGCGCAGTTTTATTGGGTGGATGCTAGTTAACCCAGCCTAAAGCACCATGAACAACCCTTAGAGCTGATACCCCTATTGCAATACAAGCCTTAAGCTATAGTTAATACTTATCCTCTCCAATTTGTATGTTGGCTTATTTTTTGAAGATTTCAATGATATTCTGTCTGTTAGATGATAGCATGGAT